GGTGCCAGCCAGCCCTCCACTGCTCCCCGGGCCCAGTCTACCAGTTCCCAGGAGCCTGCTAGGGGCGGGAGAAGGTGGGTGCCTTCCTGGTCTAGTGTGGAGATCGTGGACCTCATTGAGATTTGGGGGGGAGGCCTCCAACGTTCATGATCTCCACACTAGATGGCGGAATGAGGCCATCTGCAGCAGGATAGCTGCTGCCCCTACTTCCCCCTAATGCTTTGGCCAGTCTGATTTTGAAAGTCCCAAGCAAGAGGGCTCCTCCCACTTTCCCTGGAGAAGCTCTTTGTGCTAGGAAGGCTCTCAGCCACTAGTCCAAAGCATTCCCACAAAACTTTTTGCTTCCCATGGAAGATAGCTTTTTGACCAGAATTTATTTTACATCAGGAAGGGGGTTGGGACGGGGGTAAGTGGAAGGATGTGAGGGAGGAATGAGGCACAAGCCTCCAGTGGGTCATACCAGGGAGGCTCTTAGTGCTCCTCAGGGTGGAAGCTCTCCCGCAGGGCCTCCTGGATACTGACAGTCCCGCAATGGACCTCCCGGATGGAGGTCAGGCTTGCAGGAACACATACAAGAGAAGAACCAGAGTGCTCGGGGCAGCTTCGACTCCATGTTGCAGAGTGCTGTGGTGTCCTGAGTGAGGGCAATCAGAGCACACAGAGACAAAATGCTGGCAACAAAGCAGGGAAACCTGAGAACTGGCTGTCCAGGGAGGGTCCCTTTAAGCACTGGCCTCAGATAGCCTCAGGCAGCAGCTACACAAAGTAAATCCTGACCTAATGCTGTGCCAGACCTGGTTTTGGCAGTCCTTAAATGTGATTCAGCGTCCACTCAGTGTGGATGCACTATTTCAAAATAGCATTTTGTGTGTTGATGCGTTATTTTGAAATAAACTTTTTCGAATTAACTATTTTCAAATAGCTTATTTTGAAACAACGCTGTAGTGTAGACATATCCATAGGTGCTGCAAGACTATTTGTTGTTTTTTAAGTTTTTCCAGTCACAGACTAACACGGCTAACCCTCTGAAACTTTTGAATTGATGTAGGATGGGGGTTAAGTGTGCATTTTGATGATTAATCATTTTTGTGGCTCTTCTCTGAATCCTTTTTATTTTAGCCACGTGTTTCTTGATTTTTGGACACCAGAACTGGAATCAGTATTCCAGCATGGATAACACTACAAACTCATTTTCAGCTGATTATGCACCACAAACCTTTTTAGAGACACTGCTTCCCAGAATAGAATCCCTTATTCTGAAATGTGTCCTATATGCTTTGTTACTAGATGTATACATCTACATTTAGCCGTATTTGCTTGTACCCAGTTTACTAAGCAATCCAGATCACTATATCAGTGACCTTTTCTCTTTATTATTTACCTCTTCCCAATTTTGGGGGCTCTTGCAAATTGTATTAGTTATTCTAAGGGGTTTTTTTTCCAGATAATTGATGAGATTGTTGCATAGCTATAGCCAAGAGCCAGATCATGCAGGAACCCACTGGAAACACACACACTCAATGATGATTCCCCATTTATAATTACATTGAAAATGATCAGCTTGACATTTTATAATACATTTTATGTGTGCTATGCTAATTTTATGTTGTTCTAGGTTTCTTTTTAAAATGATATGTCATACAGTAACAAATGTAGATCCCAGAGAGCAAGGAAGAACAGGGTTTATTTCCCCTATCTTTGGTTTGGAGGGGGTAAAGAAGAGAAGTGTGAATGAGATAATATGAATACAACATTAAATCATTACATCCTTTTTTGTTCATTGGAAAGAGAAAAAAATATTCATTTTTATCACTGAAGCAAACAAGATTTGTACTATTTTTATATGATGTAGGTATTAACCAGCATCTTTTAAAGCTATTTACTCTCCATCTACTATATATTTGATTGAATTTATTTGTCTGTCAGTTTGTTCAAGAACTCCTCCTAAATAGTAAGAGCTATGATTATCAAAATTTGGTATATAGCTTTCTCTTTCCATAAATTAAAGCAACAATTTTGATTGTGCTGAAAAAACAGGATGGACCTGAAATGGGATTGCTTCTTATAAAACCATACAAAAAAAAAGAGACAATCACCAACACAAGTACAGTCCTCAAAATTGACATAACTGAACAAATGTTGACAGAGGGTTCAGGATAGGCTCAGGGAGGGCAGGGGCTCAAGGCAGATATGCAGATTGGCACCTTTGCACCCTGGCTCCAGCACAGAGTTGCTGCTATGTGCCCCACCCCACCCCACTAGCTGTGGCTATTCATGGAATCACAGAATCAAAGTTCTGTACTGGGACTGAGGGGGAGGCTCACCCCTCCCCCTGGCAATAGCAGCTCTGTGCTGGGTCTGGGGGAGGGGATGCATTTGCTCCATTCTGGGCCTTTACCTCTCCCCCAGCTGTGCCCACTAGAGCTTCAGCAGCAGTAGAGAGGCACTTCTTACCTGGCCCCAAGCCTCTGTAGTGAGAGAGGGCTAGGATAGTCCTCTCTCCTGTGAGTAGCCTGCATACTGCAGCCTCATCCACAGCCCCACCCAGAGCAATGATTTAAATGAAGCACATATATTTTCATTTTATTAAATCATAACAAAACAAAACCGAATTAATTGAGTGAAGGATCCAAGCAACACCAGGGAAATCTTGCAGTTTAATATAAATTAAATCCTGAAATAAGGAAACAAATTGAAAGTTGAGGAGCATATATATATATGCAGCACAAGGAAACTGTTGAGAGACCTCAAATAAATGTCTTTACATGCTTTAGATCTTTATACTCACACCCAGTATAGAACCATTAGTTCACACACTGCAGGTAACAAATAGAAATTTTGAGGACTATTGAACATTTTCTGTTTTCACAGTGGCTCAGCACACAAAGTTATTAGCACATGTGTTTCTATAATTGAGATGCACTGGGGAAAATTCTATGTTCAATGGCCCCTAAAATTCAAATTTCCTCCTATGCAGTTAGTACACTGGGCTGCAATATAACACATGTAGGTATAGAAGCTAGCTGATGATTGCACAAGGTTTTATATCTTCGTTTCTTTCTTTAGGTTCCCTGCTTCATTTCTGCATGGATTAACAGAATCAAATATCTTAAAGTAGCAAAACCGAAGAGAAATGTATACCCTACTTCAACAGCACAATATCATTATGTACTTCTTCCTTACCTTCCCACACTAAAATACTTATATACATAATACTCTTTCTCCCAAAGCAACAGTGCAAGAACTATTTATTTTCTAATCCAGCAATAACTTTCATAGGGAGAACAATGAGAAATTACATAGGATGGTTTCAGGTGTGAAAGGAAGGTATATGTCAGAATATGTCAAATGAGCACCAGTTTAATTGTAAGTGTAAAGGAAAGGCAGCATTGTGAGATACAGGAGATAAAAATAAAAACAAAATTTGATTGTATGACCAACAATAACCCCACTTTTAGGGAAGTAAGTAACTCAGACAGCAGTATGCAACAAAGTACTGATTACCCCAAATGGAGCAGACAAAAGTTTTTGCAAGGGCAGAATGAGACAACAAAAATCTAACATGAGCAATTGTAAGGCAAGTGGAGGAGTACCAAAATACCGAAACAGGGTATATAAAGTTGGATGGAACAGACCAAGAGCGGACGGGTTGTGAATCCAAAAAGCTAGGTCTGATCAACCAGAGCTCCCTCCCCAGCGCTGAATCTCACTACCACACATAAGCTCCGAAAGGGGAACAAATAAGCTCCGAAAGGGAAACAACACCGGTCGTAAGTTGCAACGAAAAATCCAAGAAAAAAGGAAAAACATAAAGAAAAGAATATCTCCTGAATCTAAGCAATGATTCTATCTTTCTTAATGTGAGTACTATATATTTGTTAACTCCATAAATTGTTTAAAGGTAAATCAGGAGGGTATATCTGTAGGAGAAGTTATTATTTCTTGTTTTTTTTAACTGTACTATTTTTCTACTTTTTCTTTGTATATTTTATTGTCTTAAAAGAATCAAAAATAGTGCGTTGATTTAAATGAAAAATTAATTATAAGTAAATAGAAAAAATAAAAAAAACTTTGTTTGACCCTAAAAGAAGTATTCCTCTGTCTGTGGTTTCAAATCCTTTAAAGAACCAAACCCGGTTACCGAAATGGTGTCACGAACAGGATTTGACGAGAGCAGAGGGTGCCCCTTTGATGGGTTAAACAAAACAGAATGTATAGGACCTCTCAACCACTGGTTATATCATAATAAGGATGAGAGTGAAGAAAACATGCTAAAAATAGGAGCAGTTCTAGCAATAGGGGAAGAAAATCATACATATACCCCACATGTAACATGTTCAGGGTTGAGATGTTTAATGGCTAATAATGATCTAGTGAAATGGGATTTAAAAGATTGCAAAGTACCATTACCAGATGTAACACAAAAAACCCCATCTAAAGAAACAGATTATAAAAAACTGCAAAACATATTAGAAAGAACAGACGATATGACAGATCTGTATCAAAATGGGGGTACCCCAGAAATATTAAAATTGCCAAGTCAAACAACTGACAAGTTGATGGGAGAGGTACTAGAGGACCTTATAAGATATGCTAGAGAAAAGAAAAAATTAACTGCCGACAAATGGGATCCAAATAAAGGGGTCCGTGTACTTTGGCACTGGTTGAAAAAAGCCGGAAATACAATAACTAAATTAGAAGGCACAGTAAATACCCTACAAGCCTTATTAAAAAAAGAAACTCAGGAGAGAGAGAAAAAGAGAAATAATGGGGAAAAAGATATAACAAAACCAACAGCCCCACCCCCTCCTTATTCTGAATCAGTCATAGAGGAAAATCAAAAGGAAGAAAGGAAAAAAGGAGAAAAAGGAGATGTATACCCATGGGATATGCTAACGGAAGGAATATGCATAGGGGAATGTAAATGTGAGAAGGAGACAAGAGAAAAGATTGAGGCTGGAGATGATTTGGTCAAAGCTCATCCAATAACACAAATAATATATAAACAGAGGGGAGGACTTCCACCTGTAGCCACTATGGAATCAAGGGAAAGATCCCGAATAGAAATGAATGACTTAATAAGTCGAACCCGAAGGAGGCAGGGAGAGAACCCAGTAGTGTGGGTAGGAAGGCTAGTAATGGAAAATATGAATGAATTAATTTCACAACCAGAGCTAACTATATTAACAGGAAATCCCGGATATTCAGGAGGGCTGATGAAAATGAGTTCAGCTATAGGGAATGAGGACTGGCCGTTAAATCAACCAGCCCCAATAGCCTTATCAATAGCAGCTACAGAGCAGGGAGGAACTGTACCAGAGGGTGCATAAAGACGAAGGAAGATGTTAAAGCTGCAGCTGTTGGAATTTCCTTCCTATTTTACCAACCCACAACAGCAGCCCAAGAACAGTTAACAGCAGCACAGAGAGCTGATCCTCGCCAATTTAAATATATAGGGGATCCAGGTCTGATAACAATGGTCAGAGTAACAGCACAAATGGTATGGCAAGGAGTAGAAAGCCTAAACCAAAGCCTAAAATTGTGGCTAACAGCCCTAACAGGGAGTAGTTTTTGGGGAATATTGGAAACTATAAATGATTTGGAGGTAGTATGCAAACATACCCCAGCACCAACATATGAACCCGCAAGAGACGCGCGTAAAACGTGCAAAAGTTTCCAAACCCCAAAGAAGGGGAAAGACCCAAGCAAGGAAGAAAAAGCCATATTTGGTTTTATGTTAGGAATTAGATACAGTTCTTTATTGTGCTAGGGGAAAAAGTGAATGCCTAAGAAGCAGAAGTAGAAAGAGTTAGAATAGGATTACAACATGCACAAGAGAGTCATCCTAATGAACCATGGGAATTTAGGCATAGATAGTATGTATTGTACAAAGACACTGTTAAAAGGGAATACACACATTGAAACACATGCAGGGTGGAGAGAAATGTGGACCATAATTAGAAATCACGTAAGTGGTACATCAGTGAAACATATCCCTAGCCATAAAGAAGGATACAATCCGGACCACAAACAACTAGATAAAGAATTGCAAGAATTTAAAGTGTTAGTAGAAAAAAACAAAGAAAAAGAAGAAGTAAATCCATTCATAAAATACTTACATGAATACACAAGCCACTTTGAAGACACAAAAAGAAAGAGAATAGATAAAGCAATATACAGGAAGAGAATCAAGAATTAAAATAAAAGAACATGAAAAAATACATAAAAGCCTGTAAAATTTGCCACAATACTAAACGTATAAATCAGCTAAAATATGCCTAATAAAGCATATAACCCAGAATATCATAAACCAGGAAACCATTAGCAAACAGATTTATAATAAGACCATTACCGAGTGCTAAACAATACCCAAAGCGAGTAGTTGTGGTAGAGTTAAGAAATCAGAGTACTATAGTAATTCCTTTTTAAAAAACCAAAAGCAAAACACATACTAAAAGCCTTAGAAAAAATAATAGCAGCTTAAAGACGCCCACAAATAATACAATCAAACAATGGTCCATGGAAAAGGGCATAACATGGCATTTAAATCTCCCATACCATCCTCAATCCAGCGGAGCAGTAGAAAAGAAAACCGATATCTTAAAACAACATTTAAAAATGGCAGCTAAGGATGGCACCTTTAAAGGCTGGCACCTAGTATTGGATGCAGTTTTATTAAATGTGAATGAACATACAAGCCGATGGCCAGATATAAAACCCAAGCAGCAACCAAACTAAAAAAAGCCCTCCTATAAAGCAAAGAGAAAAGAGTAGCATTAGAAAGACCAAAAAAGTTACCATTCACCTATGTAATCACAACAAAAACAAGAAAAAGATTAGCACACCATAATTAGCTAAGTAGTAAAGAATGAAATTAACAGTTCCACAAGATTATATATTACAAGTTGTTCATCATCACTAAAAATCACGTTAACAGTGCAAGATAGACCAGCTTAAATAGTAAGTATGATCCATTACAACAAAACTAGACCCAAGTCAAAAACACCACCACCACCCAAACTAAATTAGCTAACAAACCAGCCCAGTGGCAAGTGTGTAAAATAAACTATACCACCCCCACTAGGAAAGAAGAAGTACAGGCAGTCCCCGGGTTACATGGATCCGACTTACATCGGATCTTATAGTTCAGGAAAATGATACCAGTTGGAATATGTCCCGCTTGTATAGTATTGAAGCTAATATGAACAATTGGGTAAACAAATCATATGATAGCACTCCCCCCAATACAATGATAGGCATACAGGCCCCAAGCCTGGGTGTATTTGGCTTTAGCTTAACACCATTATATGGTGTATGGCTTAATATTAGCAACGCAACAGAAACATGTGACCCACATTTGTAACAATTCCACTATCTGGAACCACAGCCTTAGCTACACCAGATAGTAATACAACCCTTCCAACATTAACAGTTGTAATACCCCCCTCAAAATTACAATCAACAGAAACAGGAGGAGTAATAATAAGATTGCAACCAGCATATGAAAATGAAGGAAGGAAGATAAAATATAGTATAAATTGCACAACATGGGGGTCACGAAGAAAGAAAAGAGGAGCATGGGATATATGGGCAACCAAAAAAATTATTAAGGCAATGGGAGGAGGATGTAAAACCAGATTTGTTAGCAATTGATTCATTAAGTAGAAAAATAATAGTCACCATGAAAGCTGAAACAGCAAAATTATTACATTGAGTAAATACAGCTGTAAACGTATCTAATACAAATGCCGATAAAACACAAGAATAGAGTAAAAATATATCTATGTATTTAAATAATCTAAATTGTATAAGTTTGTATAGTAGTAGTAGTTTTAGAAAAAAATTATTGCAAAAAATTGAGGAAGATGAGAGAGGGATAAGTGGAAGGGCACCATTGGTAAAAATACCAAATACAGCACAAATAAGTCATGAAATAACATCCCATAGATTTAAAATAGGATGGGAAACAATGGTGTACCAACAAGTAGTATATAAAGAAACAAGTGAAGTATGGGGAAGAGGAATGGTTACTACACCTGAGCGTTGATGTAATAGTTCAGAAAAGGTCAGAATGTGTAAACCAGCATTGTTTAATAGACAGAAAGTTGTGTCCACATTAATGGGTAAAATTAATTGGTTACCAAAAAAATGTAAAGAATACATAGGCTCTAACCAGACCCATTTAATTGTTTGTCACTGTAGTGACTCAGTTTGGCAATTGTTAAGCAAAAAGATAATGCATAATAAATGTTATGTTTACCAGTTAAAATGAATGTCACCGTAACTTTTTGTAATGTAAACGGACTATAGAACTTAACACAAATGGGATACAACTGCACTGGAAAAGGCAATAAGACTATTGAACAAAATATGGTGTTGTGGATCCGATTTTAACAGGAGAAGAGAAAGCCATAAATTGCCACCCCCATCCGGGGCCTGACTCGGCCCATCTGGGCCTAGCCCTCAAAGTACACTGCCCCTCTCGTAGGGGAAATACGGCCCACCGGCCTAGTCCCAAAGCACAATGCCCCTGTGCGGACGTGGAAAAACGAAATTGGAACATTTTGTTAAAAAATTTATTGAGCTAGCAATTAAGAATCAAACTATAAGGAATGTGGATGAATCACCCATAACAATTGTGGACATATTAAATGATTTGGATGGAACAATTAATAAGGGTATAGAAAGTGCAATAGGATGGGGAGCAAGTGTTTGGAAGTTTTTATCCATGTTGATATCAGGAAAATGGTTTTGGATTATTTGTGCAAAAATAATATTAATTATTGTGATAAGAATATTATATATGTGTGGAATTTTTTATGGAGTTAACAAATATATTGCGTATGGGTCTTAACAAAGATGCTAATTATCTCACCCATTACAAAGATAGCTTCCCCAATTATCACCCCTAATGTCATTACCTCACAGACACTAACCTTCCTCCGTCACCTCTCCTCTGTTCTTAAACCTGATTCATCATTTTTATATGTGTTCACTTTTTTTTTATTGTATCACTTTAGTATATATGGTTGTGCCAATTTTCTTCCACATATTAACCATTTTGTTAGTCTTTAAAATGCTGTATAGTGCTGTCTTTTGTTTCAGCTAGACCAGACTAACATGGCTGCATCTCTATCACTATCATTTCTTTGGAGTGCATGACAATCCCCTTCTTGACTCCTTGTTCAAGCATCAAGATCATTTGGCTCAGTGAGTTTATGAGAGCATGAAATGTTTACATCTCAACTGTTTGGCCCTTAATATTTTGCGCAGTCTTTCTTCCCATTAACTTTGAGCCCACATTAAGATTATAAAGTATAACAATGTGGCAATGTCTTTGATCCTATTACATATGGAAAAATAAATTAGTAATGGAGATAAATAGTAGGTATTTGGGATTATTTATGCTTAGTAAATGTACTCTGACTTGATAAATACAAATATATAATGTATGTATTATGGAAATACCAAGAATACATTTCATTCTGCATTCTGTGCTAGCATCTTATTTTTGGCAGTTAACAATTAGTGTGTTTGATATATTCTTTCTGTGCCTGGTCTTTTTATATCTTGCTATAGCGATCAGACTAGAAAATGAATGTAAAACATGGTGCAGTCCATGCAATCTCCTGGAACACTAGATAATTTGGTTAAGTGTTTCATACCACCCATCAATGCAGAGCTGTTCCTTAAAAGGGTGAGCTAATCCTTAGGAAGGTTTCCTCTTGACTTTAGTGGAAGCAGGCATAGATCCTAAAGCTTTATCTTGCCGGGCACTACTCAGCAGCTTGCAGTATGGGCCCTTCCTGAATGAAAGGAAGTATCTTTGGGATTGTGTCAGCTTAATTATATGTTTGCTAATAATACGTCAATCCATTTCTCTGATTTTGATTATTACATCAGTTATCACTATGGACTGTGATTACTCCTCCATCTGGTACACAAGCTTTTTACCATAAATTAGAAAATGACAATTACTAGCTCTATCCTGTAGCTTCTTCAACACTGCAGCTATTACAAACATATTTCCATTTTAATCACACACATCTTCCAACCTACCTTTGAATTTTTATTCTCCAGCTTGTCCTGGCTTCCTCTTATATGAATCAGATTTATTGCTCTGGTTAAATGTTTCACAATGCAAGCAGAATTCAAGATGATTTACCATTAGGTGATGATAATCTAGGGACTTGAGCTACTGATGAAATGACAAGAAAATGACCAATATGGAAATTTATTTTTGCTTTCAGTCCAGATACAAAATCCAGAAAACAATATTATCAGTCCACAATATATATTTTTAAAAAACATAGTCTGTCAAAGATATTGATTATGTCCTACTGAATCCTACACCAAGACTTATGCTCTTAAAAACCTTACTCAGTTTGTTAATCTATGCTCATAATGTATTATTTCTTAAAATAATGTGTCCTTAGTCACATTATACCTTGAAAACTTTGTGCAAAATTCTCATTGACTTCAGTGGGAATTCAGTGTGCAGAATGAGGATTGACTATATCTCACAAGCATGTCAGGGAGGAGTTAGCTGGAGTTTCTGAGAGAAACATTTAGAAATGAGATCGTTAGTGTAGGATGTGTTTAGAAACCTAATAACAGATGGTTGAATACATGAATGAATATTTAACAACATTATTTTATGCAAAACAGCAAAGTGTGACAATGAACCCAAGTAATAGTATTCACATATGGCTACCTTATAATACACAACACTTGGAGCTCATAGCATAAGGGAAGCATTGCCTCTCCAAGGCTATTTCCCCTACCCACACACAAGAATGGCAGAAATATGGAGTAGATGGGTCTTTGACTGCCCTTTCAACACATTGCTAACTTAACTGATAGTAAAGAGAAGGGAGAAAATTTTGTCAAGTAGGAGACCAGCACAGATTTCATATCACTTTGAGAAGACAAGGGGTCCAATTGTGTCTCAGAGTCTGTACATCTGTTTCTGGAGGAATTCAATTTACTCTGAGTTTGGAAACTTTTCCAGGCTCTAGGTCTGCTTGACCAGTCACCTGAATTATATTTTGTCTCTATTCTTTGCCAAGAATGGTTGGAAAAGAGCTTTACTTAATGACTGTTGGTGGTTGCTTTTGATGTTCAGCTCCCATTGTGACAGAGCTATGTGATGGAAGTGAGTGTCAAGAAATGGGAGTTATCTTAGAGGTGAAAGAAAAAGTGTAATGACTCAAATCAGGAGGATCAAATAATTTCCATCCCAGAACAATGGAAGAACTAATATACAGAATGCTAGTCTGGCAGAAGGATTTTTAGTAAGTCTATTTGGGGCTAGTATCATCTGACTGGAAGATAGCTAATGTTAGTGTGAGAAGTGATCCAGGCAATTACAGACCTGCTATTGATCTCATTATTATGCAAATCTTTAGAAAAAAATTACAAAGAAAAGACTAAAAGATTAATGGTAAAGGCAATGAACCCAACATAGAGGTACATCATTCCTGAATTACCAGCTCTTTTTCTGTGAAAATTACTGATTTCTGGGAAGCATCTCATGTAGCTAAAGGTTTTTGCTCCCATTAACTCCTCAGCTACTCAGACATCTACCCCACACTTCTTTTCTACAGATCTTTTAAAAACACAGCAGTTGTGAGGCCACCAATCATCTCCACTTGAGTAGGCAGTCAGGTGCTCTATTGATCCATTAGCTGCTGAGAAAGTTTGAGGTTTGTACAGCCCATTGCAAGACCTTACCTATCAGCTCTCTGAATTTACTAAAATCTGTCTTTCTGAAGTCCATTGTCTCTATTTTGTTATTCTCCCTTCTACCATTCCTTAGAATAATGAACTCTATGATTTCACCCAAGCTGCCTTCCCACCTTCAAATTTTCAACCAGCTCCTCCCTATTCATTAAAATCAAATCTAGAAGCTAGACATGGTGGTGCATGTGCAGTTACATTATTCCTCAGATAGTCAAGGCACCTTCAGAAGTAATACAGTGATATATATATAACAAAAGAACCTCAAGCCCATCTCATCTGAAAAAGTGGATTTTGCCCACGAAACTCATGATACCTAAGTTGCCATAGGACTAATTGTTTTAAAAATAAACTTTTGACCTTTTTCATATTGTCAGTCTAGACACAGCCATAGGGTATTTCTACACTACAGCATTTTTTGAAATATCTTATTTAAAAATAGTTAATTCGAAATAAGTTATTTCAAAATAACGCATCTACACATAAAATGCATTTCAAAATAGCGGTTTGCTATTTTGAAATAGTGCGTCTACACTGATTGGACGCTGAATCGCATTTAAGGCCAGCTGAAACCGATTCCAGCAGGGCATCAGGTCAGTATTTGCTTTGTGTGGCTGCTGCCTGAGGCTAGTGCTTAAAGGGACCCCCCTGGACAGCCGATTCTCAGGTTTTCCTGATTGCTTGCCTACCTCGCTGAGGAACAGCAAAGCATTTCTTTTCTCCGATTGCTTTGGTTGCCCTGACTCGGGACACCACAGCACTTGGCACTATGGAGCCAGAGCTGCCTCTGGGAACTCTGGTGCTCATTTTGGATATCTTGCTGCAAGCCTGGCAGCAAGCGCTGGAGACTGCCTGACAGCTTCTGTGGCTGCCCAACACCCAGATCCTCTCCTGGACCCCTCTGGGGGCTGTTGAGGAACAACGGCCGGACACCAGCATGGCCCGCAACATCTGACATCTGGACACCAGCAGCAACTGGTGGGACCACATCATCCTGGGGTGCTGGGGAGACCAACAGTGGACCCAGAACTTCAGGATGAAGGAGGACACCTTTCTTGAGCTCTGTTAGTGGCTCGCCCCTGCTCTGCGGTGACAGAACACACACACATGAGGCCCGCCATTCCCCCTCCACAAGCATATGGTCATCACCCTGTGGAAGCCCTCCATGCTGGATAGCTACCGATCCATGGGGAACCAGTTTGGCATGGGGAGATCCACCGTCAGAGCAGTGCTCATGCAGGTACGGCAGTCTCCAGCCACTGTGGTGGGCGGGGGGGGGGGGGGGGGGGAGGGGGG